AACAGCCTGGTGCAACTTTGTATCTTCAAAGCATAGAAACACTCCAAAGCATAGAAACACTCTGATTTATGTATCATTAAAGACAGGCTCAGTGAGTGTATAAGTGCTCACTCTTCGTCTGATGTGCATAAATTTGTCAGATCCATCTCTTCCGCAACACATCTGTCTCCAAATAGCAAATGGTTCATTGTTCAGTTTTAAAAAATGAGACCTTCACTCAGGTGAGACTGTTTTGCTTTTGTAAATATTGTAAAAATGTAAATATGTTGATCACGTGAACTCAAGACTTTGAACTGTTTCCGGTTGGCCCAACAGCCAAGATGGTCACAGCAGCGAGAGAGGGGCTGGGGGCCCCATGAGCCCTCTAGGTGGGCCAGGAATGAGTGGGAGCCGGCACCGCAGATCCGCCCAAGGCTGCAGAACCGCCAGGCACCGGAGGTCCAAAGCCTGTGCGGGGGCCAGGAATGGCCTGCTCCACCACAGCAGGATGCCCAGCGTTCCCCACCAAGGTCAGGATCATCCACAGGGTCATTAAGGTGCTGCATCACCTAAATAACGTAAGCAGCAATGAGACTGAGCGCTACCTGCTCTCTCTGCAAAGACTGACAAAACGCCTGTCAGGCGATATTGTCCCTGCGTCCCCCTCGGCATCCACTGCTGAGCTTATCAGTGGGAATGATAGGCAGTGGACATTCACCACCCTTCTGATCCTCAGGGACCATCACAAGGTGTTCTTGGCCTGGGACATTGAACTTTTATTGGGATTTCAGCTAGGGGCGTGGGAGGCCACCTTTGACATCGCCACCAAGTGGGCTCGGCGGAACCTGGGTCGCCGTCGGAAAGACTCCACGGTGCTCCAGCCCAAGATCCTGCTGGAGGAGTAAGTAGTGGTGCGGGAACTGGACCCTGCATGCCACTCTGACCGAGATAGGGGTGCCCAAGGCTGGACCAGGAGGGGACACTGGACTGCGTTGCTGTGCACCTGCCCAATTCGACCCTCCTCCTGCTGCTCTTCCTGCCTCTGCTGCTTGCCAGGAGGGTGGGACCGTCACCTCCGTGGCCACCATGATGGACCACGTCCCGACCGGCTGGTCTCCCTATGGGAAGGACTCTGGAGATGAGGCAGCTGAGGAAACAGCCAGACTCCGGCTCCTGCTCGATGAGCCAGTGGCAGAACCGCGGATGAAGCGCCACCACCTGTAGTGGCTCCAGCTGCCCGACGGAGGTCGACACGTCATTTGTCGACCCCCAACAAGCTGCAGGACTGGAGCCTCACCATCCCCAAAAGGTGGGTCATCCTGGGGGACTCAAACGTTGCTCGCCTCCCCACCTTTGACTGCACTGACCTCCAGGTTGATGGGTATCCTGGGGCAAAGTGGAAATATGCGGAGACCCTGTTGAAGAACGCCACCATCTGGAGCCTGGTGGAGCGTTTGATTATGTCCTTCAGGCTGAACAACAGATGCCAGAGGTCAAAGTTGATGCTCAATGTGTCTTGAAGTTCTCTTTTGTTTCTCTAGATGTTCTCAGACACCAAAGTGTGTAATGGAATAAAATGTATAAAAAATTGCTTGCATTCAAGTTCATTGTTGAGACTAGTTTTTTTTTTTTTCATGCCACTCAGTTTGGATTTAATGTTTGTGCGTTATTTATGTAGAATAAACCTATGTCTGACCGTGTTTGGTGATATTTCATAAGTATTGTATATTGATTAAAAAAATGCAAAGTCTGGAAACTAAAGCTGCTGCTTATTATGGATTTTCTGTGTATGTTTAGATAAAGTAAATTTATAAACAGCCCATTTGCAGAATAGGTTTGGTAATAACTTATTTTGGGTACATCTCTGGATTCTGTTGAACATCTCATTAAGTAATGCAGCAGACTGGGCAGAGATGCAACAGCAGGCGAAAATATGTAGCAGTGGAACTCATGAGTAGTTTTAGCTCACACATCAGGGACGTGTTTTAGGTCAAAGGGCAGCAGGATACCTCCAAAGAATTAATCTCTCCATCTGCAAGACTGATGGAAATTTTTTGTGCAATTTTAATCAACATTTACTAAAATATGTCATACATAATATTTGTTTGAAAAAAATAATTATACAGTAAAAGGAATGTCTTCTTTCTTGATGCCTTGATTAGCCTGTCACAGTAATCCAGCTTGCTGTCATCACAGTATGAAGCTGCAGATGCTAATTGGATTTGAGTCTTTATGACTTTTATCACTGACACGTGAGCGTGTGCGCCAAATGTCAAAATGTCAATTAAGCCATGCATACGAGTCGAGGCAGCAGGAACGGACCCGACACATAATCAACCTCTGAAGAAAAAAAAATCGTTCCAGCTCAGTCAAATCATCCAAGCATGACATAAAACAGGGAAGGCAGAAAAACGTATATCAAAAGGGGACAAACCCAAGCAAAATTAAAGACAGACAGTGGCAGAGGAAACAGACTTGAATGTGATGGCGAACAAAGCAAACCTGGCTTCACGCAGAGCAGGACGTGAAAGGTAATTGAAGAAATAATTGTGGAGGGGAAAGCAGGTCAGCAGCAAAGTGAGTGAGTTCAGGCTCTGGGACACCAGATGCAAATGGGAGAAATGCCTCAAGGAGAACAAGAAAGGATGGATGACGGAACGGAGGGTTAAAAAAGTCAACAGCAAAGATCTTAATTGTACAAAAACAGACATTTTTCTTTATGCTGCATCTTTGTAACTTGGTTTAATGTTTCTGTTAGATCATGCCTTTTATTCCCAAATATTTCTAGCATTTATGAGACATTTTCCAAGCAGCCAGATCACAAATGAAACGCAAGTATATATAGACACTGAAAAAAATGCAAAGCCACCAGTAGCTGCTTCAGGAAGACTAAGTGTCTCTCGGTCTCTGTGCAGACAGAGCAGAGTGAGATTAACTTGCTACTTAACTACAGCAGGTAGTCTTGGCTGAGTGCATCACTTTAAAACTTTACCAACACACTGGCTCATCATGAAGCCATATGTGCCGCTTGTAAAATGGGCATGGTGGGAAATTCGCAGTCCAATTCCATTAAATCATCTCATTTTGGGAATGTTAGTTTGCTGAACTCAAAGAAAATAAAGCATGAATTATTTTGCAGAAATCCATTTAAATGAAACTGGACATTTTCTAACACTGTGTCCTAAATTTGAACCAAACTCTTACAAAAATGAAAACAGGATAACTGTAAAATGCACAATTTTTGCAATATGACATTATTGTGATCAACGCTGGCATAAGGACATCGCTTTCCATTGTCTGAGTAGATTAGATGGAGATTAAGATTTTTTTATGTCTAAACGAGATTGTACAGCACTTTATCAGGTGGATTGAACCAACATGAGGTAATGTACAAGTTAAATTTCTTTTTGAAACACAGGTTTGTTCTCCTACGTTTCACCATGAGGTGAATTATTCCCCTTTTGTCATCGTCTCAACAACTGTTGCTGAAAGTTTAAATCTGATCCCAGATTATATAATTACTCCCATTGATCTGCATCGATTAATATTTTAATCCACATGGGTTTTTTTTATTTTATTTTTACATGAAGGGAACCTAATCTCACATCAAAATGTTGTAAAACTTAATCTAACCAATTATTTTTGAACATATATACAACTCTGGAAAAAATTAAGAGACCACTATATATTTTTTTTCTGATTTTACTTTTTATGGGTATATTTTCAAGTAAAATTAACATTTTTCTTTTATTCTATGAGCTACTGACGGCATGTCTCTGAAATTCCAAGCAGAAATTTAGTATTTATTTGCAGAAAATGAGAAATGGTCAAAATGATGAAAAATATACCATTGCTTTCAGACCTCAAGTAAAGTTTATATTAATTTAGAAACAAGAATACTAATGTCTTAACTCAGGAAGAGCTCAGAAATAAATGTAAGTAATTACATAAGGTTTCACTGGGGTTCAGTGCAGTGGGCTCTTATTTTTTTCCAGAGTTGTATATTAAAATACCCATACAAAACACCTCTTAAGTTAATACGGATGTGATAATAGTGGTGATGAAGTAAACAACATTATACTAATGTGCTATACGGACCTATCAGCATTAGAAAGATACAACCTCTGTGCAAACCGTGGCTATAATACAATCTGTCTGAGTGGCCTGAGCCGCTCACTGTTACATTACTAATGACATGTCTCATTAGTAGATCATCACTGGAATTACTGCATTACATTAGTTCACCACATTAGTCCTATATTTGATTAAAAGAAGAATAATTTTGCTAAATTGTGTCAGCTTACATAGAAACCAAATGGTCAATTTCTTCTTAAATATAATTAAGCAGATCTTGGTTTTCACAGGGAGAATAAAGAGCGAGGCTGTTATAGTTAATGATTCAACTCGTTGTTTTTCTTACGATCCAAGACTTAAATGTCAGACTGAGTGAGGTTCCCATATAGTTCTTTATCAAGCCGACTTAAGTCTACAGTATAACTAATTAAAAGCAAATACTTCATTTCTTTGGAACTGTTTGAAATATCAATCCTACTTCCCATGAATTTAAAGGGATATCTTGGATTATTCTTTCTTCAGATTTAAACTTTCCTGTCCAGCTCTTATTATAATTAAACTGAGAACTGGAAATGTCAACAGGAATATCTAATTGGGGAAACATCTGTTCAGAACAATGTAGCCATCCCAAAAGAAACACAACACAGCAGATTTATACGTTTGACCAGCTGCATTGTCCCAGTGTTGGCAGTTTTTATTTTTAGCCACCAGCAGCTTTACTCTTGCACTGCTTCAAAGCTAATTTAGCAAATAAGATCCAGAGCTTATGTCAGTCATATAGAGAAAATGTGTGAATGCTGAGGCGACAAATCCAGCCCTGGAGAGCTGCTTTGCTGCAACTTTAGGATGCATCTCCATGCCAACACACCTGAATCTAACGGCTAAAATTCCTTCATCATCATGTCATTCAGCTCTGCAGAGACCTGGTAATGAGCCAGTCATTTGATCCAGGTGTGATGGAGAAGGAATGCTTCTGGTTTCAGAACCTTCAGCTGAAAGATTTTCCATAAACTCATGATATAGTTTCAGTATTTCAGTCTGACCTCAAGTCTAAAAGCACAGCAGGTATGACACTGTTATTTCTTTTTTTTAAAAAGAGATGAAAACAAAATGGGAATGTTGTGCATCAAAAGCTAATTACGCTCCATGATGTAACAGCATGTAGAATAAACTTCAGCAGCAGAAAGTCGACCTAGCTGGCTTCTGTCTGACTTTACCAGTTTTCACAACAATGGAAGAATTTTGTTATTCATGAAAGACACAAATTCAAAGCAGGAGGCAAAGTTCGTGTGAGAATGGATTTTAATACTGAAAAAAAAAAAGATCAGAGCAGAAACTGAGTACAGCAACACAAAGCAGAACTCTGGAAATCTTGACAACAGCTGGAACTTTCAAAGGGAATAAATATATTATGAGGGAGGAAATGTGATAACTGTGATTGGACCAGGTGAGACTAATGTGAGAACTCAAACAACGTTTTGGGAATCTGAAGACTGAAACACTGGGACTCTGTAATGATGTAAAACACCAAAAAAACCCAGAAAACTATACAATCATTAAACAGAATATAACAAAAGGATTACCGAATGGTGATAAAGAAACTAAGAGATGGGAGTAAGCAGGAAAGGATTTAAAAAGAACACTGTGCACAAACAGGAACTAGACATAAAAAACCTCAGAAACTTCAATCTTAACCTATAAGCAATAGGATAATCTACAGTTTTCACGTTGCTTTACTTTCACATTGCATTTTTGAAGGCCTGCCAAAGTGCCTAGATAACAACATGTGGTTCCAAAAACCTGTGTGTTCAGGGTGTTATCACAAGAAACTGCACAGTATGAGCAACCAGTTCAATATCAAGTCAAAAATGCACTTCTCTTAGATTCCTATTTGATCTAAAGATAACAAATGAGAATCTAGTATTCAAATTATCATTTCAGTTATCAATGTCAGTTCTACACATGGAGACTATATTTATGGGAATATGGCAAACCCACATGACTAGAAAATATTACATTATGTATTCTAGGAAGAATTATGTTTGGTGTACATTTTGTACACAGTAAATTGTATTTTTTCCATTGTCTTTAATTTGTTTTATCTTGTAAAGTGCTTTGAATTTTCTTGTACACAAAATGTGCTGTACAAAAAAACAATCTTATATATATATATATATAATTTACTTTAAAACTGGCAGTATGTCCTCATTTGTAAAAACCCAGATGTAAAATAAGGTTCTTAAAAGCAGAATCGGAAAACGTGGCTTTATAAATGTTATTCAGCTGATAAATTAATGAAGTTTGCTATATTTTGATGAAAATTTCTTGGAGTGTGCAGCACAATGCCTGTGGCCTCCTACTGATCGTCAAAGCCCTCCCTGTCTCCCCAATCCAAGTTAAGTCCCTCAACCACATGTTGTAATCCACGGTAAATCTGCCATAACGAGGAGAAATATGAAACCAGGCAAACTCAATAACCAGTGCAACAGCTTTAATATCGGATCTGTTCTGCCTCCAGCCTTTCCTTTCAGTCTGCATTTCATCACCAGGCTGTTAACCATCAACACACAATGCAGACGCGGAGCCCAGCCGCTCTTTGGTTCGCGGCAGCATTGTTGGATTCCTGAACACCAGACGGGCGTCCACCCCAGGAATCGCACAGCTGTACGGTGATTCACAAAATGAAATTGGACACCGGTCGATATTTTTTGCCTCAGGTGTGAGGACAGAGAAGCACTAAGAAAGAGAGAGCACAGATTGTGCTCATTGTCTGCCTCCAGGCGTTTCTTTGCCTCCCTTTTATAAAGTGAAAAATAGTCTCCAATGAATAAAAGCTGTTCTTTGTATGTGTACTTGCTGTGTTTATTTTCCTGTGCACATACAATATTTATGCCATTTCAAGCTACATTTGCTCTCTGACATGGATAGCAATGCTACACCACAGGCCATGCATATTGCAGTGAAACATCAGCCTCATCCTTTTTTTTTTTTAAACGCCTAATTTTTATTCACTTGTCAGCTGTCTCTCCGTGTCACTCACAGAAATTGGCTACAGTGCTGCTATTGATTTCCGGGTTGTCATTCCTGCTGGAAGAAGATAACCTAATCAAGTTCAGCGTTTGCTACCAACATAAAAACATGCTTCCTTCTTAGAGACCTCACATCATCACTGTCTTTGAAAGCCTCCAGGTAAATCTCTTTCAATTCTTCATCTCTTCCTGCTGCTGTTTTAATAAAGGGACATCTTAACATTAGAGAGGAAATGAAAACTAATGACTAAACCTCCCCGCTGATCTCAGCATTCGCCATGTGGATTGCCATGTCGTTTTCATGCCAACTTTTATTTCATGTTAAGATTTTTCTTAAGCTTTTATGTGTTAGCGTTAAAAAAAAATACACATTTTTCTCACTTTTATGTGCGCAAGCAATAATTACTTGCAGTTTTTGGATGAAGACTATGGATTAGTTTTTCAATGTTTTAATCAATAGTGCCCAATCTTCTCAGACAACAGATAACATTTTGTGAATCTCCCTTTGCGGCTCATCTCCTTGAGTGGAGCAGTTTTATATTTTTAATAGTTTCTCTTTCTGTTTGAAAAGAAAACAGGAAGCTGTTTTGCACAACACGATTGCAGGGGCAAAATATGGTCAACTTCAATTTGAGCATGTTTCTAATTCTAACATAAAGACAGAACCACACCTAAACCAGCTTCATCACGCATCTCTTTAGGCTGTTTGCCCACTTTCAGGCTTTATTGTTAGGCATATCAGGCATGGGTTACTTAACGTTATTATTGTTTTAGTAGATTAAAGGTTCAAAACCAATTACATTTTCCATCATGTAGCTTTTATGGTCAAAATCTCTTGCATAAAATCCAAGTGGACACACCAGAGTGACTGAAGTTAACTTCCCCTTACCTGCCTCACATTTGTTTGCCATTTCTGGTCACGTTGCGGCTTTGAAAAGTTAAGAGGTTTTTATGTTAATTTAATATAATGTTGGGGGATATGACATGGAGCCAGTGCCACTACCAGAGCAGCTTCAAATACACTTGCTCTTAAATTTTTAATTTCAGCTGGCAGTGTCATCACTGCTGACCCTGTAAAAAATATATTAAGTCTTTTCAATGCATCGCTAAGAAGGTCAATAGGTTGTAGGAAAACACTGAGTGGAAAACTAATCTTATTTACCAATCCTTTGTTTATAAAAAGCGCCATCAAAAATATCCTTGTTCGCAGCTGTACTTATGGCTTACAACTTTCCATTGTTAGAAAAACTGTAAACTCTGTAATTCTCTTCTCCCTTTTTACTCCTCAGACTTATTGCAGCATGATGTCACAAGACCTTGTAGTATTACAAATACAGTTATGAAATAGCACGATTCTCCAAGAAAATCTAGCTGAAAGTAAAACATTTAAGTTTTATAAGTTCTAGTGCAGCACACTAGTATTAAATAAAATTGATTTTACTTTATTTCTTTGGAGAACAAAAATATATCTTTCTCTGTTAGAGATCAGTCTACAAATAAAAGTGACTCAAAAAAACTTTATTCTTTAAAATACATTTATGGTTTGGTAAAGTTTTTTTTTTTTTTAATTGTGCATTCCTAGTTTCCAAATATTATGCATATTGTTACACCTGAAGTGTAAAGGTACTGAAATGTTTTGGTACACATTTTGTTCACCTGTTGGCATCTTTCCTGCATGTTTTCAAGACTGAATATGAAAATAATTTATCACAATAGTTTTGCTAAGGTAGGCTATCCAGATGCTATTTGTTCATTTCCCCACAGCACTGATATTATTAAACTCTTTTGTCTCTTTTGGTTGTCCAGCCAAAAGTGTTTACAACTATCATGTCAATATGAACTAAAATCTTGAGAAATGTTTCCAATATCTTGCTGAGTCTATTTCTCAAAGAATTAAGACAGCTTTAAAGGCAAACTAAGATAGTGTTGCTAGCAAGGTGCAACTAAGAAAACGAAGACTACAAGTGCACAAAAGACGAGAACAGTCCTTTGTCAGAGGCAATGTCTATCATGTGTCTACTTTCTGGGATTGAAAAGGCTTGTTGTTGTTTCTTTTTCGGAAGAAACAAAACCAGGAGGAAGTGGGAGGCAAGAGTTATTAATATTAAATGGTTGTCTGAGTTAGTTTTAATGAAATCTTCTCCCCCTGCAAGCCTTCAGTGGGATGTATCCATTGTTTTTCCAATTATTGTTCTATAATAACAACACCCCCTGTCAGCATGACTTTTTAATAAAGCTCTTATTGTTGCACTGCATTGACTGCTCTTTAAACTCATGAAAAAATTTAAGAAATGAGTCATTTATTCTCCATGTTGAGTCACAACAATGAAACAATGAAGCATTACTCTAAATAAAGATACGTGATTCTTACCAGCTGAGGATAATAAAAGAAATATATTCAATTAAAGCAAAACATGTTTTTAAAAAAGTTAAAAGTTTTAAACAATACAGGTGTATTTTTGATTTTCACTGGTAATTGTGTTACACAGAAGTGTTGAGTTAGCTTTTCCCAGAGATGAATGAGGGAATTCTAAAATGCAGGAGCCAGTGGACCAGGCTCAGCTTCGCTCACCTGGCCAGCTGTGTCTTGTTTATTTTGGATTTGTGCTGCGGTTTGGTGTTTTTTCTCCAGTCTTTTTATGCTGAAGTCTTTGTCTTGGTCCTCCCAGGAGACCACACAAGGTTACTGGAAGTGGAGGATCTCAAGAGGAAACTTCACATTGCATTTGCATTCACGGGAGAAGTCATCCAATAGACAAGCATGAACAGAGAGGACTAATTGTGCTGAAAACTAAGATATTATGTGAGCATATATCGGAAAACCCCTAAAGATTTTTTTCACATTTTAGTACTTTACAACTTGGGAATGTGTGTTTTTTCTTCTTCACCGTAAACGGTGTTGTCAGTGTTTGTTGCATGCAGGCACAAACATCTTGGAGCGATCCCAGACAGTTTTCAAAAAGATAACAAAAAATAAAATTCACAACATAATGCTAAGATTTCAGCATCTTGGCATGTTTTTGTCCTTCCCATTAACAGAGACTATGTCCAACATTTAATTTTCAAATGTCAAAACTTCCTGAGATGCCTAGTTATATTTAGCATGTTCTCAATGACTGTGACAATGTTTGTGTTATAAGTGGTAAGCCCACCAACGTCTTTGGTGGCGTTAGACGCAGTATTCTGAAAAACTGAGTTTACAAAAATTAGGTGTGTTAGGTGTGTTGGAAACAATCCCCAAGAAGGCAACTTAAAGTTAACTGGAAAACGGCGATACCAGTCGATGCTTTAGAGCAGGGGGTCTTCAAGGTCTCTGCTTCAGCACTCCTGAGTCAAATAATGAGATCATTAGCAGGACTCTGGAGAACTTTACTGCACACTGAGGAGTTGATTCAGCCATTTTGAGCTACGGTTACAGAACTGGGGTCGTTTTTCTTTATACGTGGCTTGTATATCTGTGGTTTAGGTTAATTTGTTTTAGCTACAGGCCTGCAACTTTTGCACAATGTCTCAAAAAATTTCTCTGAACTCGTGTACCATATCCCATTTAAATGACATTGAAGACACCCCTGTGCTGCCTTCCTACACATCTGATGCTGCAGCAAAGGTAATTTGATCTCCAGCTAATCCAGGTTGGCACAGATTGTCACGGGCATGTAGAAACCTTTTGCAACATCAGCATCTCTGTCAAATTTATAATCAAAGTCAGTGGTTTTCAATCCTGGTCTTTAGGACTCGCTGTCCTGCATGTTTTAGGCGTTTCCCTTTATTAGATAAATGGGTCCTTAACAGGCTTCTGTAGCACTTTGTCACATATTCAGGGGTTACTGCAATCATTTGATGTAGGTGTGCCGGAACAGAAAAATATCTAAAAACTGAAGTACAGTTGGCCCTGAGAAACTCTATACATGTTTATTTACTTTTTAGTTCATTGAATTATAATCTCATTAAATGTCCCATGTAATTTCACATGAAATCAAAAAAACAAAGTAGGCAGAAATGCAAGCAGCTTAGGCAAAATGGATAAAAATCCATTTGGATTGTGTCCACACAAGACAGTCATTTTGCTATCTGTTTTTAAAGCTACATATTCTCTCTTTGTTTTTTTTATGGCAATTTTTAGCAACAACTAAATGTTGCTAAACTGCCTTGCTTGGGCATTTTGATACAAAACCCCCTTTTTGCAGCTAAAAAGATACGAGACAAATAAAGCAACGGGAAAGAAAGGCAATCATATTTAATCGAGTATGACACAGACACAGCGATCAGTAAAACGGAGAACTGGAAATCTGATTTTATCAAATGCGCTCTACCAAAACAAAAGCCTTTGAACATAACGTAACAGAGAGGATCAACTCTGTAAGCTGAGAACAAAGGATCCCTCTGGGATAAAAGCACACAGGAAGCTAAAAAGAACCACAGGATCAGGGCCACTGAAGAACCTCAGCTCCTCTTCTGGTATAGATCAATGGAAAGCTTGCATGATGGGACTTATGTGCATGGAGTGGATGTGGCGGGAGAAAGAGATTTAAGGGAGAAAGAATGCGTTAGCAGTTTTTATCAGTCTGGAAGACCAAAGTACCACTTCTGGTTCCTGAAAAACATAAAATATTTGACTTCTTCAAACTTTTCTGCAGTTGTTTACAACCTTCTCAGTTGAATAAAATATATCATTCATAAAAAAAATATAAGAAAACAAGAGGTCAGGGCAATGGATCAATTAGAGGAAAACCTGCAGTGTCTGAATTTCATCAACCAAATGACTGGATGGTTTCTACTTAGTAGGTAAAATACAAATGCTAAACTTTTCTGTTTTTTTTT